GCACCGACCGATACCTCCTCCAACCCCGCAGTGTCCTAGCCCTTCTGCATAACTCTCAGTTACATCCCCAGCATGACATGCTGTGGTACAGAATACTTCTTTGGTCATGTTGGGTTAGGTGTCCTGTCTCTGTTTCCTCCGGGCTTCCCCTCCTCCCTGGCAGAGCATGAGACTCACAAAGTCCTTGGTCAGACTAAAACATTTGAGCAGTAACTAAGAACATCGGTGTTATCAGCACTGTTCCCTGGCCAAAAGTCAAAACACAGCACTGCATCAGCTACTAAGAAAGAGAAAAAAATGACTGCTACTGCTGAACCCAGGACAGTATGTCATAGTAGAAGGAAAACTACAGCTGTAGAAGTAACAATTTTCACTAATCAAACTCTTACATAAGCCACATTTTCCACTCACAATAGTTTTCTCTGTTTCCTTTTCTTACGAAGTAACAAAGGCAAAAGGACTTTGAAATTCTGAATCATACTCAAAACACTAAAATCCACATACAAAGAAACCCATACTGAATCCAATCTGTACACTATTATTATATCATTTAGGACAATGGGAAATTTTAGTCAGCTTGAATCTAAAAACAGTTTCTAATGTTGCATGCCCAAATATTGCTGGAAAGAAATCCCTGGGACCAATCAATGTGCATCCAAAGTCAGTATGCTTGCTCCTTCTGCTGAATTTGCTTTTTTTATTGCTTAAGTGAGCAGAAATATAACTGCATTAAATATAAAAGAATAATATTACCACAAGCTAATATACCACATTGAGCATACACCAAGGTTCATTACATAAAAATTATTAGTATTTTGAGTGTGACATACAGTCACACTGTACTGCCATACTTATTTTTCTAAACTGGCAGCCTGAGCTGTAATTTCTGGGATTGATTCCCCAGCCCCCAGCATTTCTCATTGCTCAGTCCTTTAGACATTAATTCTACAAAAACAGTCATAATAAGGAAGCCTCAGAAGTCAGACATATATAGGTGAAAGGTTTCAGGGAGAATGCAGGAAAAAAAAACAACCAACAAACCCAAAACAAAACAGAAAAGCACCAATAGACCACAAAGAAACAATTAACCTAATCATTTTTCTGTCAGTGTCCAAGCAATCCAATGAAAAGGAAATTGATTTCTGCAAAGGACTCTGTATTAATAGGAAATCCAGAAATTCTCTGCTAAAATTTAAGTATGCTGTCAAATACGATAGTATTCTAGTTGCCAAATTAGGATTCTGAAATGGCTGACAGTGTCAAAGAATGCTGCCTTCATGCTAATAACAGACTCCAATCATCTCTATTCACAGAAACTTCCTAATAGAACCTTAGTATTTGAAGGAGTTCAAATACATTAATTTGAATATAAATTACCTGTATTAGAAATGGCTACACACTATCCAAATTGTGGGAAGTGACATGATTTGCACATGAACTATTTCTTAGTTTTTCATAATAGCCCTAGCCCATATCTTCTTCCTCCATTTTGTTTACATTTATGATTTTACCAGACCCAGATAAACTAAAATACAATGCATCAATACACAAATCCTCCTTGTAAGGGGGATCGATGAACTCAAAAATTACAAAGGAACTACAGTATCATAGACATTACCAGCATTATTTTTGTTCAAAAAACACAGACAACAAAAAAATGGGTAAGTATGCACGCTGAATTGTATTTCTGGTAACTCCAGAATATGGATGAAGCATCTTCATAAAGGACATAGTCATTAGTACATTTGATACTGATTACTCCCCTGGTGCCTGACAACAAACATTCCGAACATGGTCAGAATTATCTCCTTTGAGTGGCATTCATCTAGCCACAGACCTTTAACACGTACACCAGCATGTGCCAGGAAAGCTAATGAGGCATCAGTTTGCCAGTCTCCCTCAGCAGTTCTTCAATCTCTGTCTTGGATGTAAACATTCTGCTCACCCAAAATCTATTGTTTCTCTTCTGATGTTGTCACAAACACATGCTGATAAATTAGACTGCAATAAGAAAAAGTCGCATGAAAATAAAATAAAATTCCAGTTGCAGCTAGGAGATACCAATTACTGCCATGTCCAATAAAACTGTTAATTACTTCCTTCAATCAGTGAGCAGACAGGTGCTTAATAGCTGCTTGAAATGATTCTAAGGCAACATTTTCTTTTCTTACAAAAATACACCCTTATCTACCACAAGGAGAATCATCACATAAGGAGGAAAGACTGGAAGGTATATGACTTCTTGTTGGGATGCTGCTACATTCATGTAAAATTAAGACACTGAAAAGCTGACAAACTACCAGACAAAACAGCAGACAAAGAGCAGAACCCTTAATATTAACAAACCAGTGTCATCACATCATCATCTAGCTAAATTATATCATACACATTCATGCTTAAATCCATGCATTAGACATTTCACACTCTGTTTTAACTATAACATTGTAAAAGGATCAGCAAGCAAAAGGAATATAATCTCTAATTAAAAAATAGCAATTTAACTGCAACCTACCACATATTTAAATCTTTAATTACTTTACTAGATGAACCTTACTGTTAATATCATCTTTTTTGTGTAAATTACCAGAACTCTTTCTGAAATACGCTCTGTCTAGCCCTCAAGGTATCTATACCCATTTATGATAAGGATCATAGGCCTAAACTGTGTCTAATTTTCAGAAAGATGCTTAACAGCTAATTTAAGTATCATGCCTGGCAAAACTGCCACTCAGATAAAAAAGAAAGTATGGCTTTCCCAAACTAGTGAGATGGAAGACCCAAGTCAATGACTTCAGTCTAGGAACGAGAAGAAAGATGTACTACTGAAGTTAAAATTACAGCACTGATCTTAACAATACCTAAATTCTTGCTAAATGAAAGCATAATATTCCACAGTTACATGAAGAAGAATCTATTAACAGGCATGCTGCCCCTCTCTGAAATCAAGAAAGTTTGTCAGTAGCTGTAAGCAATAGCTACTGTTGACTAAAGGTGTTAACTAAAGGGGCAAAAAACAGGAAGTCCAGCAAGACTCCTACCCTTAAAGTACAAAATAAGAGATGCAAGCAAAATGTAGGTACAAAGTGTAGGCAAACACTAAAGCATACAGCAATGCTGGAATCAGAGCTGTAGTCACAGACATGGTATCAGCTCCATTCTGCACTACGCTACACTGAGTATCAAAGTGCTCGAGGGAGTGGGAGGACCAATCTCCAGTTTTGCAAACTGAAGAGGTTATGAAGAATAGTACCTGGAAACTCTGTGGGTTGCAGAACTAAAATGGTAAGGCAATATGAAAAAGGAATGTGTTTGTTTTCCATTTTGATGGACAGTTTTGATGCATAGCTCGATAAGCTTCACAAGCCATGTTTGATAGATTAAAGTAGCTTTATTCATCAATTTTGGCTGGCTGTATATGTGATTGCTGGGTAAAGCACATTTACTTTTTCTACTTACTTCAAAGAAGCAAATCCCTATCTTGTGTAAATTTCTTAGCTTTTGTAGCCATCTGCACAACACAGCTCTCTAAAGTTAAAGCACTCAAGGAAGCTCGCAAAAAGAGGTGAGAAGTTGAGTTTTAACTGTTTTGATGACTAGTTAAAAAGATATTTAGTTAAAAAGAACCAAATTTCATGTCTGTAAAATTATTATTTTGTACAGAACTCTGTTCTATAGATCACTGTCATTTATCATCATTATTTATGCTTCTTTTTCTTAATTCCTACTGAAGACACTGTATAGAATACAATAACGGCTGAGATCTATAGTGAAGATTTGGGCAAACATGCTAAAACTTATGGCCTAACATTACACTTCCTATTTATTCAATTAAATTAAACAATGTAATTTCTTTGTCACTACTCAGCATTAAGATTTTTTTTTTCTTTTTTTTTTAATTGCTTAAAAGTACCTAAATGCCACATCAGAAGCCCAGTCTTACGCGTTCCTACCAAGGCCTGCTTTTGGTTGCTTTGTGCCATGTAAAATTAAGCAGAAAACTGCATTAAGAATGTCCTCAATAATTGTTCAGCTACAGAAATAGAAAGATCTTTTGCAGTTTTCTAATACACGAAGATTGTTTTCATTATGTCCAAAAACAGAACTATGTTTTTCCACCTCTTTTTATGCTTGTGAAAACATAAAGACTTTTAAAGTCTTTCACACTATTCACTACTTGTAAACCTGCTTTATTTTTATTTTAAATCAATTGAGTAAAATTGAGTTACCAAAACTACAGGGAGAGAGATATTCATTCTTTCCACATGAAACTAAGCAAAAGCCTGGAAATAAAGACATATGCGAAGACTCTTGATAAACTTTTGATGATACCCAGAAGTCTGTAGTCTTTTTCTTGAATGAGAACACTCTCAAATATCCAGCGTGTATCAAAAAACAGACAAGTAAAAGGTAGCTTTACTGCAGTATAGGGAACTATGGCTTACATGTAATATTCATATTCAAAGGATTCTTATGTCACTTTTGTCTATGTTTACAAAATTAACAACTTGTTCTTAAAGACAACTGTTATGAGTTCTAATAAGGAATGTCCGATTGGTGAATACACTCATTTTAAATGACATGCTGTTGTTCAGAGTTTTTTGCAATGGCAGATCCAATGTTTTTAGAAGGATTTGCATGGAAACCAGCAAAAACTGCATGACCTTTCTGTGGATTCAGAGGCCTCACCGATACATTTCCCATAGAGAAGGAAATTATTTCATTTTGGTTGTTATCGCAAATGCCTATAGTTGTGGTTTAATCCCAGCTGGTAATTAAGTACCACAGAGCTGCTCACTCACTTCCCCCGCACAGTGTGGGGGAAAGAACCAGGGAAAATGAACATCAGTGAGTTATCAACATTATTCTCAGGCTAAAGCCAAAACACAGCACTGTACCAGCTACTAGGAAGAAAATTAACTCTATCCCAGCTGAAACCAGGACACCTATATACATAATACAGAAAAAGATCATCCAAAAAACATATTAAATAGTACACTCACCTTCATCAATAGTTGCTTGCTGTTTAACCAAAGTCATTGGAGATCTAGTTGGGGGTTTTTTTAGTGGATGACGCCAACTCTTAGATATTTTCATTCTTTCAACTTCCACTGACTGAAAAGTTAAAAACACAACTAATTTAGTATGTAATTCTGCAAAGTAAATTTTGATGAAAATACTCTTCTGTAGAGATGTCAATTATGTAAATACTAATTAACATACCAATAAAACATTTGTCTCTAATTCAGAATATACAGTTTCACTTAAAAGAACAACCCTTGTCAAACACAAACAGTTTGACATATAACTTACGGCAGCCCTTCCCAAATTACACAGCATATATCCTGGTTTGCTCAGGTGATGTTTAAGAGGAAGAACAGAAGTACAATAGAACCACTAACTGTGACTGGGAAAATAAGGCAGAAACCCATTGACCTCATTTGTAAAAAAGTATAAAAATTCTGAAGTACAAAAATAACCTTGAATTGAGACCAGAAATTAAGAGCACTGAATGCAATCAACATGTTAATTTGCAATATGAGGAAATTCCTTCTTCCCTTAAGCACCGTAGTATATATTCAGCTTGAAGTTACACAAGGTTCAAAAACTAAAGCCAATGCTACAAGCTCTGGAGCTGCAGCTTTCAAAACTTCAGATCTGAGTGCCAGTGGGGGAATAATGATGTAAACCAACTGCTGATGGTATCTGAAGTTTCAGGAGCTGAGGAACGCACACTAGCAGAAGGGTGGGAAGGACAGTCTCATATGATCCCTACAGACCACAGCATTTTGCTCCTCAACACCCTAAATCTAACCTAGCAGGTTACACACATTCTCCTGGATTAATTTGAGGGTTGAAAACTACTACTATACAATGGGAAAAAAATTATGAAACAACATATTTACTGTGATAAGCAGAGGTAGGAAGAATGCGATTAAAGCACAGGACAGGTTTAGGATTTAGAAAGCTACCAAGTAAGTAAAAAGGGAAAGAAGATCAGACTTTTTAATTGCATATGTACAAAACATTTCTTCTTAAATGAAGGAATGCAATTATACCGGAGAATATCTGAAAACTCATATATAGATGGCTTAAAGGCACAGAAAGAGATAAATATAACCTCTAATACATGGTGATTAAAACACTGAGATGTTTATAGTGCTCCTTTCTGCTACAGTGGAAAAGGCTGGAGCCAAGATTATTAAAACTCACAACACTGCAAAAAAAAACCGTAGTGCACAGTTCATGTCTGTGAAAGGGTCACAAAGATTTTACTTTGGCTTCTAAAACGTATTTCCCACTAAGTCTGGCAATCTGCAAGTGGATTTCCTGACCAGTCTGTCAACCTGGCACTGAACTCACAACTCGGAAAGCTACTGTGACCACCACAGCTTAATTTATTTTTTTTTTTTGGCTTCAAAAAATCGAAGCCGCCCACCCTCCACAGCAGAACAGCAAGAGTAAAACAAGACTGTGAGTTTGTAGATGACCCAATGAGAAAACATTATTAAAACTACTATTAAAAAAAAACCAAACAGATTCCTTTTATTAGAGGGACCTTTTCCTTCAAGTGTTTCCTTTACGTTTTTCAGGCCATTAACAAAATCCAAAAATAGCAAGTTTCAGACCCCGAGATCATGCTATCTGTATCATCCTGCAAGAGAGAATTCTTGAAGATTCACTTTCTCCGACATCAACACGATGGACACAGTTTCAACTAAAACAAGAAAGTCCATAAAATTCTGTAAACTTCATAAACAATGTGAAATAATGTAATAAAATGAAAGCAAACTCTGTTTCCACCTAACCTGATGCAGAGATGCTCCTCATATTTTCTTCGTCCACTTCTTCATTTGAAAAGGGCATCAGTCCAAAAATAAATTACCATGTGCTCCCACATTGATATGTTCTGTCCATGGACAGTAAGGCTCAGAATCAACCTATTCTGCTGACATTTTATGAGCATACTCTTAAACCTCCTTAAGACTCAGTCAAAACAGCCCTTTTTTTGAAACACAAATATAATACTTATCTCTAATACTTTGAATTTCATGTTAGTAGCAATAACTAAAGCTGATAGCCGTGCTCCTACTGGCAGGCAGCGAACATGGGAATAGTTTGAGAATAGCTGCTGACAGTTTGGACTCACAGATATAAAATGAAATTACTAGGTATCTAAAATCAGAGGGAAAATATGTCAATAAGCAAGCTCCAGAAACATTCTGCTTTTGGATCCAAATTCCCACTCTTGCCTGAACATTTCAAAACATGTTCAAATTAGCATCCAAATAAAATCATGCATATTCTTAATTTTTTTAATATGGATATCAGGTCTCATTAGAAAAATGTTCATTCACATTTTATCAAATAAGGAATATATTACTGTAATGATGTAATTTGCTGCACATACAGTGGATGCTTCCGCGCCATCATTCTCATCATTCTTTAGAACAGGTACTTCTCCATGGTCCAACATTCCACAGCTTTCTAGATCACTGACATCATCGTCTATCAAGCCATTTTCCTCTTTATCTGGGTTTTCATCTTCAGAAGCTTGTCCTAACTTACGGCATGGCATGGGTGAAACAGACTGATTCTGAAATGCCAAACTCTCTTCTTCTCTACAGCTATCTGAAGTTGGCATGAAAGCAACAGAAACTTCAAATGCAAGAGGATGACTGGAATCTGTCCTGTTCTCATCTTCCATCTTTGTTTTCTCTAGTACAGGAACAGATCTCGAAAATGAGTCTGAATGGATGCTTCCTACAGATGAAGAATATTATTTGTTAATAAATCTCACTTTATATTACTGAATTTTATTTTACAACAATCTGAGTTACTCAAATTTAAAGAACGATTCCTCATTTAGAAACCATACAGAAAATCATTTGGTAAAAGGACATAAACAAACGTGGAGTATAGGTTTGATCAAAGAATAAATTAAATGTGAATGTGTTTGAGTTTGGTGTGTGAACTACAGTTTTAATCAATCAGTATTTTGTATTTGAATCACAACATATCTTCATGTCATTCAAAATAAACAACATTCATATAGGTTGTTTATCCTCACAGCTAACAATTACTTTGACTAGTTGGAAAAAATTATAACAAGGTTTGTATACTTGCATTTATGTATATTGAACTTTATACCCTGCATTTGTAGCTATTATGCCTGTTTTAAAAATTAAAATAAACAAATACTATTGGTTTACAATTTGGAAGATCTATTTCAAATAGATACCAAGAATATTTTGAAAACAACGTGCAATAATTCAAAGCAATTAGCATAATTTTATATTTCAGTTATGCTGAAGGGTGAAATTGTGTGGATTTTCCTCTATCAAAATTTAAAATGCTTGCACGGAAGATGCAGATGCTTGCACGGAATAGACAGAACAGTGAATTAGAGAGGTTTCCCAAAAAAGATGTTCCTGAAGATCTCAGTGGCACACATCAGTGTATTCTGATTCAGCAGCACATCCAAAGCATCAGAGAAAAAGAATCTTCCCATTCTTTTTTTACAATGGTTGTTTGAACTTGTTTTTCTGAAAAATTTCTTTTTTGGGTCAAATGAATACAAAATTTAGTAATACAAAGCCAAAACTAAAACTTAATCTCTGTGTATGAAGAATCCTGCCTTGACTGAGCAAAACTGACATACTAGCTAGAGATAATGCAAGACCAATGACCATCTCCAATGTGAGTACTGGAGTTCCCACCATTGTATCTAAAAAAGTCATTTTCCTTACAAAGGTCCAGGCACCACCCTTTATTAGCACAAATGTAAGAGGACCGCTCTCCACTCTCTTCTGCTTTCCCTCCTTTGTCAACAAACCCAGAGTGGACATAAACAAAATTCTAGTTTCCTAGAGGTCATGAACATGCCAAACCTCTACTAAAAGTCAGGGAAGGCTGTAAAGGAATAGAACCACCTTTTTTTTTTTTTAAAAAAAAAAAAGAAAGAGATTATTAGAACAGACCTGGAAAGGTTTGACAGAGCACCAACTATTTGTATGCAGGAATTTCTAAGCCTCCATATCGGAATACTGACTTTGTTATCTTTATGTGGATCAATCCTAGTGTTTTCCACTTCTATATAACCATTAACATAATCATTAATATTCACAATCTGGGAAATACTGCCTATAAGCAATTTACAAGTCAATTTTCGGTATAAATATAAACCCAAATGGGACTGCTCACAAACTTAAAGTTCGGTTTAGTCTGCCTTTCTGCACAGCAATGTGAGACTGCACCTGAACTACACAGAAATGTGAAACAGAAGAAATAAAGTCCAGAACAGACCAAGTGTGTTAGTATAAAATAGTTTTATGGAAAAAAAAGGCCCATCTTTGCCTTTACAACTTGCATTGTCAGCCAGCTGGAAGTGACAAGCAATCTGCACTCGCAAAATACAGCATTTCTGTGCACAAGTATAAATGACTTCTAATATGCAGCATTCTTCATGTAAACACACATAGCTTACTATCAGCATATATGTTCTCTACTGTTTGTGTGTTAAGACATTCGGTATCATTTCTCTGCAAAAAAAAAATTCTGTTAAACATTATCAGTCTACTGAAGAAATATAATTTATGAAACCTAATCGGTTTTGCCCCTTAAAAACCACTTCACTAACAGTTTAGGTGATATTACTCTCAGCTCAGAATATTAATTTTAGCATTCTTCCATTCTTACTGAATTGCATAACTACATAAGCATTTTAGTATGCTACTTAGGATAATACTATGCTTTATCATCCACCGATCTGTGCATTAGAGTACCAGCAGCCTACAACTTTCATGTGAGACATAATCAGTCCTTATCTCACCTGCAACCTTGACATTATCCAACAAATGTTGATCCAGTTGCATTCTACTACTGTCGTCTTCTCCCCCAGAAGGCACTTCTATGTTTACAAGCCTCACTTTTTTCCCAGGTTCTTCACTGACCTTGAAGCCATCAGCAGCTGCTTCAGTTGCTCTGATTTCTGCACCGGATACCATAGCAGATACTCTCTTGTCCTCTGGAGTTTTAAGCTTTTTAGATCGAGATTTGGTGTGAGGGAAGCTGTTATATAGAGATATTGCTGTCAGAGTGAAATGTCTGTCTTGGATAAGATAAAACGTCTACCAATATATATGTCCCTTTCACCTGCTTAAAGTGGTAAAAAACTGACAATTTTTCATCTTTTTGTGTGAGATAGTGTTTACAATTTATTAAGTTAACAATTGATTGGATCTAACCTTCCAATCTTTTATCACCATGCTATGGCAAAGTTATTAAATTGTAAAAGTAAAATAACCTCACATAACTATTACTTAACAAGCATCCAAAGTAGCTTTTTAATGAATCATTCTTTTGAACCTGAAAGAGAACACCCCTTATAAAAGTAATGAAGACAAAACATTCTCAGCTGCACTAAAATCAGGTTGCATTGCAAATTCAAATGCTAATAAAACACCACTATGAATATCATTATAAAATAGGACCTGCTTAGATATTTAAATTTTTAAATGCATTTTAAGGAAAAATCCTGATAACTAAGTATTTTGAATGGCTACAGTGTCAATCAATACATTCCATAATGCTGTGCAAAAAACCCAGAAATTAAAGCTTCTGCATGTTTTTGCACACTCAGAAGTAGAAGAGAAAGGTTAAAGCCAGAGAAATAGCACCCTCTGTCAGAAACTGGTTTGTAATTTATGTGCTTGGGATAAAAGTAACAGGAGGTAAGTACAGTTTCAAATTCAACTATGTGACACAGGAGGCGATTTTTATGTGCTTCATCACACATCAGATTTCAGAACTCGTAACACACTAGTGGCAGGAAAATAATGGTTATAAAGGTCTTGCATCTCAGACTATAGACATCTCCAGAAAAACATTTTGCTACCCCTTACATTTTATCCTATGTTGATCAATGTGTATCTTTCAACACCCTCTATAAAACAGTAATTTCCAGAAAATTTGCCTGAGATGCCCACCAGTTCACAGTGTAATATAACAGCAAGTATTATTACTGTTTATGTGCAGTTCAAGATGTTCCACTGTTGGAAAGTATTTCAGCTGCTAGAGTTAAGCTCTCCCTGTCATATACTCATGAAGATTTCCATGGATGGTATTTGTATTATTCCCATAATCAAAATGATGACAATTGCAATTGACACATTACACTAGAAATGAAGCTGAATAAACATTTTATCCTCTCTTTTCAATACACAGTTATAGTGCCTGAACAAAAGCCAACTCAAGAATTAAAAAGCATTGGAATAGTGTTTTTTAGCCTAGCTAAGTGCAAGAAATCAGACCATGCGCTCATATGATAAAACTTTCAACAGAATTATTATAAAGTCTTTGCTTTTAGTCAAAACTGTTTAGCTGTAAGAGACTACCAAAATAATCACTGCTGGTCCAAATGTGATATGCTTTACACTGGATACAATGAAACATACTACAGGCAAAATAACATTCAAGTAACCAACAGAATTCTTCTCTCTCTACCTGGGTTAATATTATACACATACTAATAAATTTGCTCTCCAGCTGCTTCACTGGTTGCCTTCAAGAACTGATTCTGCCCCACAAACTGTTCTTATCCAGAACAAACACAGGGTTGTACTTCTCAACTATAATATTCCACTACAGTGGCAGCTCGTCCTCTTCTTTATCAGTCTGCTTTTCCTATCATTTTCCTCAATAAATCATACACACGTTAACTGACAAAGAAAATTAAGAAATTCAGCTTAAGAGCAATTTTTAAACATAACTATATTGTAAGATGATTTGAAAGAGGAAAAAGGTCTTAAAAATTCAGTATTATCTTTAACTCAGCAAACTGCACCCCACAATAAGCAAATAAAACTTCATTAGATAATGAAGGAAAAAAAAAACATAAAGATCCTGCTAAGACACACAAACATTAGTGTAGAAAAAATTTTTCTACAATGCAAAGAAAAAACATGATGCACGCCACGAAAATAGATCCAGCTGCGAAACTGCTTTAGCAGGTCAAATTTGACCTATTAAAGACGTCAATTTGACAGCTCCAGTGACAAGCTGCCATTTTCCTCCGAATTTTCTTAGTGGTGTCAGCACCAACAACTGAGATCAAGGCCTTCCTTACGACAAATTATGATCTGTGATAGACCTGTGGTAAACACAGAGGTCTGGGCTGCAGCACTCTTGAGAGTGTGACAAAAATGCAGTGCTACCTCCTTGGAGATGATGGAAGTGAGGGCTAAGACTCCTGCTAGAGACTTCACACAAATGTTTGGATTCTACCACAGCTTCATGATTAATTTTTCCAATTTAACTTTTTCCTCAACTCTTAGGAGACATCTTCCTTGTCTTTCAGTTGCAGATGTCACTATAAACAATGGCAACCATTCACACCTTGAAAATTTTAATAGAATAATCTCTATGAAAGAAGGATTCTAAATACCACGCTAGCATGCCTTTTGGTGCTCCCCATACTCACCAACTTCAGCTGTATACATAACATGTAAATTGAATTAATTTTTTACAGTCACTCTTGCTTCTCCCAAGTTTGTGTTAATATAGAAAACAGAAAAACAAACTTTGGTTAGGTAAAAGAATTTCAAAAAAGAATTAAAAAAAAAGTTTAGCGAAAGTGTCAAAACTGAAACAAAAAGGAAACTGACATTATATTGAAGACAATTAAATGGAGCATATATATAAATACCTCTGGGGAAATTTCTTTATTTTCCTTCTTCTCTGTAGCCAGGTATTTACTTCAGGTGTTGATTCAGGAGTTGGTTTTGTGTGATCAATAGTGTATATATCCTTGCCTTGTTTCCACAGCTGGTATCTGTCTGGTTGAAACTTCCTCACAAAGACATCCATAGATATTTTCACCATGTCCCTCCTACAAGTGCACTGCAAGAGAAGACAGGAATATGTAAATGACAAGTAAGAGAATATGCTCCAGTTTGCAGTAAAGAAAGTTCAAAATAAAAATCCCACATGTGAAAACCAGCTCTACTTTAATCAGAATGTTCCTTTTCCCCTCTTTCTCACTTCTTCAGGGCTAAGGATAGTTCAAAAGAATATAATGAATACTGTATAAATATGAAATATATTGTAAATGTATGTATATATGTATAAATATAAAATGAATATCTGAATAAATGCACACCAAGAATACACACTAGGATTCCACAAAGGCACTTCGGGACACTACACTGTTTGATTAACTCCTACAGGTTAAGACCAGAAAGAAATTACAGCAAGTCTTTTTGCTCTATTAGCTGTTCTTGATAGTTTTAGGCAGAGTAAGTTGTTGAATCCAGAGACTGCACATATTACCAGTGGCACCACAATTTTATCTTTAAAACTAACTCATGTAGTATCCACCTGGCCCAAAAGTCTTTACAGGACTACAGTCCTAGCTTTTAACTCATCAAAAGAAAATGCATACAAGTACATATCAAGTTACAGTTTTACCCAGGTTTTTCTACAAAGAGGAAGAAACAAGCAAGGGGAGTGTTACGTTTAAGGTCTAGAAGGCTGTGTTATAAACATGTAGTCTGACCTGTGCAATGCAGACCCTAAAATCTCATGAAGTCCTTTTTTAATCAACCTTCCTCTGGTCCCTGACTTTAGTCCCCCAAAGAATTTCCATACTGCTTTTCTTTACAAATTAGGCATATGAGTAGAGTATTTTAGGCTTATCTGAATAAACTCTTAATGGCGATCACATAAATGCAGTCTTCACTTGAAATACTGTAGATGCTGAGACAATTTTCAGACTAAAGTTACTGTACCTAATGATCCATAATATTTAATATTTGGAGACTGCAATAAGTAAATCACCATGCCCATAGCACAAACTGCTGTGTGGTTTAACCTCGCCTGGCTGCCAGGTGCCCACAGACCTGCTTTCTCATTCCCCCTCCTCAGCAGAGAAAAATAAGAATGAAAAAGCTCATGGATTGAGATAAGGACAGGAAGATCTCTGACCAACTACCACTGCAGACTCAGCTTGAGCATCCCCCACATTCCATTTTCCTCAAGCTGAACTTCCCCCTTGACTACGGTGTTTGCAGGGCTGTTTCATTCACATTTTCCTTACTCGTCTCTCTCACAGCTGTTGTACAGGTTTTTTCACCCTTTCTCAAACATGCTATCATAGGGATGCCAAAAGAACCACTGACAGGCTCAGCTGTGGGCAGCAGCAGCTTCATTTTGGAACCAGCTGGAACTGGTTCTGTTCAACATACAGTAAGCTCCTGATCCCCTCTCACAGAAGCCACCCTACACTATGAAAACCTTGCCACGTAAATCCAGTACATTATTCAGTAATTATTCCAATTAAAAGCTAAACAAATAGTTTAAAAACATACAGTTTAAAACACATAGTTTCTAATGGACAAACTTTTAGCACTACAGCTAAATGACTCTGCTAAAGGGCAAAACTGAGACTGTATTTTTCTTCAGTAAACAGATACATTAAAAAACTGGCACATGCAAGATCTAGCTTCCTAAGTTTGCTACAGCTAGGTGTATCACCGCTTTTTAAGCCAGTGATCATAGAATCATGGAATCACAGAATCGTTAGGGTTGGAAAGGACCTTAAGATCATCTAGTTCCAACCCCCCTGCCACAGGCAGGGGACACCTTATGCTAAATCATATCACCCAAGGCCTCATCCAACCTGGTCTTGAACACTGCCAGGGATGGAGCATTCACAACTTCCCTGGGCAACCCATTCCACTGCCTCACCACCCTAACAGGAAAGAATTTCCTCCTTATATCCAATCTAAACTTCCCCTGTTTAAGTTTTAACCCGTTACCCCTTGTCCTATCACTACAGTCTCTAATGAAGAGTCCCTCACCAGCATCCCTATAGGCCCCCTTCAGACACTGGAAGGCTGCTATGAGGTCTCCACGCAGCCTTCTCTTCTCCAGGCTGAACAGCCCCAACTTTCTCAGCCTGTCTTCATATGGGAGGTGCTCCAGTCCCCTGATCATCCTCGTGGCCCTTCTCTGGACTTGTTCCAACAGTTCCATGTCCTTTTTATGTTGAGGACACCAGAACTGCACACAATACTCCAGGTGAGGTCTCACAAGAGCAGAGTAGAGGGGCAGGATCACCTCCTTCGACCTGCTGGTCATACTCCTTTTGATGCAGCCCAGGATACAGTTGGTGTTCTGGGCTGCAAGCCCATGTTCATTTTCTCACCAACCAACACCTCCAAGTCCTTCTGTGCAGGGCTGCTCTGAATCTCTTCTCTGCCCAACCTGTAGCTGTGCCTGGGATTGCTCTGACCCAGGTGTAGGACCTTGCACTTGGCATGGTTAAACCTCATAAGGTTGCCATCAGCCCACCTCACAAGTGTGTCAAGGTCCCTCTGGATGGCATTCCTTCCCTCCAGGGTATCAACTGAACCACACAGCTTGGTGTCATCGGCAAACTTGCTGAGGGCGCACTCAATCCCACTGTCCATGTCACCAACAAAGATGTCGAACAAGACCGGTCCCAACACCGATCCCTGAGGGACACCACTCGTTACTGGTCTCCAGCTGGACATTGAGCCATTGACCACAACTCTTTGTGCGCGGCCATCCAGCCAGTTCTTTATCCACCGAGTGGTCCATCCATCCAATTGATGTCTCTCTAATTTGGAGACAAGGATGTCATGTGGGACAGTGTCAAATGCTTTGCACAAGTCCAGGTAGATGACGTCAACTGCTCTACCCCTGTCCATCAGTTCTGTAGCCCCATCATAGAAAGCCACCAAATTGGTCAGGCAGGATTTCCCCTTAGTGAAGCCATGCTGGCTGTCACCAAGCACCTTGCTGTTTTTCATGTGCCTTAGCATGCCTTCCAGGAGAATCTGCTCCAAGATTTTGCCAGGCACAGAGGTGAGACTGACTCGCCTGTAATTCCCCGGGTCATCCATTTTCCCCTTCTTGAACATGGGGGTTATATTTCCCTTTTTCCAGTTGTTGGGAACTTCACCTGACTGCCATGATTTCACAAATATGATGGCCAGTGGCTTAGCAACTTCATTTGCCAGCTCCTTCAGGACCCGCGGATGGATCTCATCAGGACCCAATGTTTAACCACGGAAAAGGTGAAACACACAAGGGACTGAATGCAACTTTTCTACTAGCTAGTTTTCTATGTGCTGGATACAAATTTCTTTAACTGCTACTTCCATTTCTAATCCAACCTTTTCCTCTTGAAAAATCACAAGCTACACAATGAAAAGCAGGCATCCAAGATGCATTAAAATGGTTGCTTTTCTTCCAATATGTCAACATCAACATGTTGGATGCTCAGAACACTGCCCTCTAATGCAAGTTGGAATGGAAACAAGAAAAGAAATTTAACACAGAAAGTAATTTTATGCAGCTGCCTTCAATGGAAGTTTTTACCCAAACCATGATCAGAATTTTCCTTATTTTCAAACAACATGCATGTATGCAGGTATGGACACATTCTGTAAGAGACTTAACCTTATTTAAACAGTGTGTCTCACCCAGAGAGTTCATGATCATTCACAATACATAGTAATAGAAAAGCTATGAAGATACTACTGTATACTGGAAAGGTGCACAGATGGTCCACTGTAATATTTTTAACTTTTAAAAATGAAAAGTTGTAGCACAAAGACAATCAGCATGGCGTTTTCCCTCCCCTTACACACAAAATGCTTTCATATTCCAGCCATGCTGCTACATACAGAAATGGCTGTTAAAGCAAAGATTTAGAGGATTACTGGTTTTGCTATTAGACAACGAGACCTCTAGTGGCTTGGAAGAAAATAATTGCTTGAGTCAGCCTTGAAGTATCTAAAAAGAAAAGATATCAAGAAATAAAATGCATTCTATGATCAAATGATGATAACAATACATGAACAGACTCAAAATAAATTATGTCTAAATGAGGCACAGAATTTCTGCCTTTCAGTAATCCCTGATCAGTTTCCACTACATTTTAATGCAACTACTGTAAATTATTTTTAAAAACAAGCAGGCATTAAAAATATCATAGAATTCTTTAGAAGAGTTAAAACTTTAAAAAACATACATTTCTGAGTAAAAAGTTATGGAGGAACATCATACTCAACAGTATCACTGCTTGCCTGAAAATACAGAGCAGGCTTCTAGGCACTGAAGAGTGGAAATATTTGGAAGTATCGTGTCAGACAATGGCAGCAGATATGTTCTTAAAACAATTTCTACTCATATTCCCTAAAAGGAGGCTAGGAAAAAAAAACAAACAAACAACAAAACAAGCAAACAAACAAAAAATTAAAAAACCCAACAACAAAAGTTCCGTGCACACACACCACAAAAAAACTTGATGCTTTGATAAATAATCAGGAGGAGGTTTATTTTGTTCTTCTTGGTGGCGGTAGTAATGGATTTTAATGTTTTTTCTTCATTTCCCATTTGACTGACTTGTAGCTGACAGTTATATGGCTTTCTGCTCCCAAGACAAAAAACTGAATGAAAGATTCTCTCTGAAGCAAAACTAAATGTCATTTTGTTGAAGAAGCCTCCAGGGACAGATACAAAGGGAACATGCAACAGTCTGCTAAAATACTCACAGTGATGCTTCCATGGATCACTATAATTTTGGAAGCAGTTTTAATATTCTTCAAAATAAATGCAAAATTGAAGCTGTTGGATCACCATGTAAAATACAACTGATGTTGCCATAGATAAACATCACCTTTCCAATGAAAAGAATCATTTTCTATATGAAGTACTATTAGTCTGATACATATTCTTCAACCAAAGATTAGCAACCAGAATACTTACGGGAACAACTCTCTCACAGTTCTTACTGTTAAACTGTTACAACTACCATCATCAATATCAGCATTATTAATAGTATTATTATTGTTATTAATACTGTTTATCTTATCATAAAGATACAGCCTGGAGTTGAGCACTTCAAATAGAATTTATTAGTAGTTGCAAACCTTTATAGCAATGAATCAGAAGAAGAATGTTTCAGTAATTTTAACTGATATAACTAAATGGTGAGATATATTTGTAATATAAGAAAATTACCTAGGAGAGATGTACTCAGCAAAAAGAATTTTCTCAAATACTTGACATTTCTGAATGAAAAACAAACAAACAAAAAAAAAATATTCTGTTCTACTCCCCCCGCAAAAAAAAAAAAATTAATAAAAATAAAAATAAAAAACACAACAACCAACCCCCCCTAAAAATAGTGTTAAATTCTTCCCATTTTGGACTCTGACTCAGGAAAATCTAAAGGAATACAACAAGCTTCCAGTCTTATACATATCTGAGTAAGACACATACATAAGGACACTTTAAAATATGGACATTTTTCTCACAATTGCTCTCACTTGGGTAACAGAATTCGTGTCTGAATCGGCAGCACACTGACCCACTGCCACCTTTACTAGTATCTAAGAACAGCTCCTGAAAAACATTTTATACCATTAAGAATCAAGTACATGTCTTAAGGTATTTCTAATACTTCATCATTAATATTAAACACTTTCATCAAACAGAATCACTAGATTTTTAAAATTAACATAGATACTCGGTAGGTAATATAATATTTTACTGTAACAGAAAGCAACTAGATGGTTTATTTTATAATTTGAATAGTAGAAGGGGAGTAGTAGTTCTCAGTACTACAGCTGTAAGCACAGAAATGCATATCCAGAGTCAAGCCTTTGTGATTTGCACTTTTCTATGTTACTTCAATGAAGTATACCACCTGATTATACACCTTTAAGATGTAAAATTATATCTTCATCCACAAAAATATCTTCTCAATCTAAACATCAGTTGTTATACTACAGTGTTAAATTATTTAAAGACATTACGCTCAAAACAGCTGGCACTCAGTATTGGATTTTGTTAATTAAATGTGATTTTCACTACACCTGAAATCTACTTCAGTTAAAATTTGTCTAAAGTATTAAACTGAAGAAGAATAGTAGTACTTCATTAGGTTAAATTTTTGTCCTTTCTTTACGTAATCATTTCATGAAAAAAGAAGCACTTAATTTACATTATAACTGCACAGCGTATATAAACTCTTTTTCTATACACCTGTGGAACAGCATGTGTGAGAATTAACAGTCAAGAGAAATCATGAAAAGTTATCTTCTTTGTAAAGAGAAAATGGATTTTTACAAAACATAACAAACACAAAAATTAGCAGAGTGAGACAAGTATTAGGCTGGTAACCTTCTTTATACACTACCTAAGTCCCAATCTAAAAAGCATACTCTAAAAATGATCTAGTCAAGCTATTTTTCACTTATATTTTTTTACCTTCCTAACTGCTTATAATGATTAAAGCTTTCTTCATGGTACAGTTGCAATGATGTATTTATTGAAGGAGACATTTTAAATAATTCAGATGCTTCTTACCAGCTTACCTTCAACTGCACTTAACAGACTACTTGACCCACTATATTCCACTCTTCATGTAATACCGTAAATAAATCATGTTCAAACTGTAAAAAATGTGTTTTGATATACAACTTTCTGAAGCTGCTGCAACTGGAACTGCTTCCTGTGGACTATCTATAGAAGAAGTGCTTGATAGGTACTGTTTGTTAGGAAGAGAGGATTTAATAAACCCTAGTAGCAGTAACTGCTCTTTGCTATAGAATCAGGCAGTGATATATTTTCTCACTGACCTTCTGGCAACTTGTAGGCAGTGTTGCAGAAATCTTTTGATACCAGTTAGCCATCCATGCAAGCTTCAATAAAGCAAGCCATCCTTTGGCAAGCCACAGAGAGTACACTCACTTTTCCCTAACACATCCAGTCACACACAACAAAAATTCAAATTCAAACACCACTCTCCTGGGGTTCTTTTTATATATATTCTGAGACATTTGGGGTAAATAACAGAATAAAATATTTCTCACAAATTCATTATTTGTATTCATAGTCCAGTATTTAAATACTGCATTACAAAACACCTGGTTTTAACTTTATTCCTATTTCCAATTTATATTACACATAATGCTACCTACACATTCCTACAAAAAAGACTCAATTTATATTATGTTGAAGTGATTCCACCAGCATCACATGCTATTGAAAAAATGTGGCTGTTTTCTTCCCATTCTTTTGAAACCCAGCAACAGAAACAGTGTGACAGGACACAGCTGAGAGAACCCCATCCTTTTTTGAAAACATTCCACCTCCCAGCCCTCCTTTCTCTTTATCTGCCTGTTACGCCTTTTTGATTATACTTTCTTTCTCTATGTGATCCAGAAACCACTGAATTAAATATGAGTAAGGCGTGCAGATGAGAAAACTGATGAAATTCAAAATGGAAGCTAGGCATTGGTCTATAATCCAAGGAACTTGCTGGAGAGAGCCAAAGATGAGAGCAGAAAGGTACTACAATATACAGTGAGAAAAGGGGCTTTACCTTTGGTAATTTTGCAGGTTGTAATGAACTCTAAATCCAAGTAGTCATTCTCAGTAACAAGATTAATACACTGGAAAGCATTGTCATTTGCAAAGTTTTGACACCTATCCACTAATTTTAAGGGTGAAAGGAGAAGAAAGGCAGGATTATTGTAGTACATGCTACTAGGTTTGATGCAGTGCGAACTATCTTTGCCAACTAACCTCAACCCTTTTGAGTGCAAAGAAAATAGTTAAAAGGATATCTCTGTGAGACAACTGGTTAAGGTTCACTGCTGATTTGGGGGTTGTTTGCGGATTTGGGGGGGTTGGGTTTTCCTTGAGTTGTGGGGTTTTTTCATTAGTTGTTTTTTGGGATATGTTTTTTTTTTAACACGTCTTGAAAATAATTTCTCACGTTTCCACAACTATAATACCCTTCTGTGTCCTGTTACCATAAATCTTTTACTGGTATCTTTACTGGTACTTCTCTTACTTCTTTGAGATTTAATCACTAGCTATTAACTTTCTTCTTTTCAGTCTGATTTTACTCTGCATTTCTAGCCCAAATTTTACTCTTCTTTCACTCATAGAATCATAGAATAGTTAGGGTTGGAAAGAACCTTAAGATCATCTAGTTCCAACCCTCCAGCCTGGCCTTGAACACTGCCAGGGGTGGAGCATTCACACCTTCCCATTCCAGTGCCTCACCACCCTTACAGTAAAGAACCTCCTCCTTATATCCAATCTAAACTTCCCGTTTTAAGTTTGAACCCGTTACCCCTTGTCCTATCACTACAGTCCCTAATGAAGAGTCCCTCACCAGCATCCCTATAGCCCCCTTCCGATACTGGAAGGCTGCTATGAGGTCTCCATGCAGCCTTCTCTTCTCCAGGCTGAACAGCCCCAACTTTCTCAGCCTGTCTTCATACAGGAGGTGCTCCAGTCCCCTGATCATCCTCGTGGCACTCCTCTGGACTTGTTCCAACAGTTCCATGTCCTTTTTAGGTTGAGGACACCAGAACTGCACACAATACTTCAAGTGAGGTCTCACGAGAAACTCATGTTCATTTCTCCATCCATCCCTGATACCTATACAAAGAAACCCTTTGTCTGGAGTCTTCGTCTCTCTGCTGTGTGTCAACTACCCCTGCTCCATGCCTGTCTTAGCTCTGTACCATTCCCTTTCCCAGTACCTTTGGTCTACACTTCCTCAAATCCAGAAAATGAAGGCTTCTGTCCCTTAAACTGTCTTCTAATTTCTGTTTTTTAAAATGGAAGAATTCTGACCCTGTGAAGTTATAATTTCTTCTAAAGAAATTAATCTCTGTCTGCAGCAGATCAGAATTAACCAACTCTAAAATATCCCCTACAAGTGCTCTTTGCAATAATACATATATATACACATCTCATTATAAACAGTAAGTTGTAGTTGTGCAATACCTAATACAGGCCCATAATTATGTCATGCCTCACCTTGATTACACAAACTCCACATTCACTATCATGGATTTACTTACAGAAAGTTTAGTACTATCAAGCATAAAAAAGGAGTTCACAGAATACCCAGGTTTAGCAATTTCTAAAAATTACATCTATCCTTAGTTCATTAATTATGGCAAAGAGATACTTGTAATATATTATAGGTAAGAAGTCAGTATAACAGGAAACCTAGTAAGGAAATACTCCATCTGTATTCCAAATTAACTCAAAAGAAAATCAATAGGTTATCAATTTTTAAAATTGTATTCCTACACACCAGCTGGGAAAAAGCTCAAATTAGAACATATTGCAGATTAATGGAAGTTCTGGGAAGAAACACAGATATAAACCTGGTATAAGTAGATGGGATGAGGAATAATAACTTTTCCTATCAGTGTGGAGCTTTGTTTATTGGCTAAAATAAACCGTTACCTCCACAGGGTGGATTATTTAAGACCATTTTCTGGCACAATTAAGGTATCAGTGTATCACTACTAATGTTATTCCAGCAACTCAAATTATTGCAAGGATTTCAGAATTCTTTTTTCAAACTCAGGTTCACATTTAATAATAATTGAAGATTCATGGCAATATAACCAGATGAGTATAGAAACACTTTTTTTCCACAAGTCTTATTTTACAGAGCACCAAACCTAGCTGCCACTATTAAAAATCAGTTGCATTTACATGTGACAATGCTCACAGACAGATCATATTAAAAACTAAATACTATTAAAAACCATCTATAGCCTTAGATCTGATGAGCATTCCTCATTGTTGCTGCTGAAGCACAGCATAGCAAATGGAGTATTAACTTGCCCTTATATTAATAAAATGATTAATCACTTTTTAAAGTTCACAAAATATTTTTTCTAAACATTCTGAAGATGTTCTAAAATGTCATGACACATTTTTCTCAAGTTTCACCTTTCAGCATCTAGAACATTGCATTAAGGGATGTTAAAACCAGCAAATTAATGTTACCAATGGTAAATCACAGTACATAATGGCTTCTGCCTGGGGGAAAGAGAAGAAAGCAATGAAATTCCAATCAGAAGGAAAAGCTATGGTCAAGTCTCATGTAAAGCATGTGTAAAGCACCACCATACTCATTAAGTTTCTCTTAAGGCATATGAGAAATTCTTGCAAAAGCTTGGCTCAGTTTTTCAAGACTTAAATGTCCAAATTTCATCACTTAGGTACATCTTGCAGGTTCTGAAAACACGCAAATAGCACTCAGTGGGCTGAATCAATCAATTTCCTTATAAATTAATAACCTCACTGCTCTATTTCTTAAATGTGATTCTTAACTAAAAAATCACAGAGCATAAGAACTGCAAAAGTTAACACCTAAGACATTTATTCAATCTACTGAATCACATTTTGGCCAGCACGAGTTTATGTCTTCCAAAGATACTCCATTCGTATTCTTGCTCAGCAAAGCAGAACAATGTTTAGAAAACCTATATACCTTCCAAAAGAGGATGAAAAAATCTGTACCTCTATGCACCTTCATGCCAGGAGTTTTAGAATGCTTTGCAAATACTAACGTTTCTTCCTGGTAATAGAGAAGAAACCAGAACACAGAAAGGCTTGTTTGTGAAGGTCATATGACAAGCCACAGTCAGAACTAAGACTAGAATATATCTGATTTTCAGTTCCCTGTTCCAGATGTAAAGACTTCATTTCTAAACTAAACAGAGGGAAAGAATAACTTTCCCAGTTCTTAAAATTACTTATCCTTTTTTTTTTTTTTTAAAAAAAAGGTTCTCCAACTATTTCAATTCTTTGGGGGGGGGGGGGGGGGGATATAAAAGAGAGCAGAAAAATAGCAATAAAAAATAATAGGCCATACCCTAGAAATTTCAATTAATCTACATCTACCTATTTATATATCTTGCCCTTTCCAAGTAAAGATGGAAAGAAAAGAAACTGTAGTGATGTAAATTTCTTTCACTATTTGAATCCAAATTAAGTAAGCAAGGGAGCATTGTGATATTAAAAAGAAAATAAAATCAATTTAAAAAAACAATCATCTCCAGCCTCAAAAGAAAATTTAAAAAAAAAAAAAAGAAAAGAAAGAAAAATCATCGAATTAGAACAATCATCAAAATGAAGATTTTCTGTCTCTGTTAAGTAACGCAAGAAGCCAAGAGTAATCCTGTGTTGCCACATTAAGAAGATAGGCTGTGTAACGCAGGTTGTCCAAGTTTGGGAAGGTAGGAAAGAATGAGAAAGTAGGAGAAAATGTCAGTAAGACAGAAACTACAGAATCCTCTATGACTTTTTCCTCTAATAAATAAAACCTGTACAGAAAATACATCAAAAGTTTTCCTGTTCAGACATTGACATGCTTGCTATAAGCCATCTTGCAGGCCTACGAACCAAACATCTCCAGTGTTCCTACCAGGGTTCAGAAGTGGCAAGTTGAGCATGAAAACAGTAACAACACTAAAAGAATGAAATCAACTTACAACCCAGCTCTTATAGGTAGTATCTTGGAACACTGGGCTCAAATATAAAAATTACTCAAATACATAACTTGCAAAAATATGAATCAAAAGAATGGAACCCGGGCTTCATGTATTTCTGCTGCTGCAAAGAAAGAGTAGCTGAACCAAAGGAAAATTCATTGCATGAAGCATGCATTCAAAATAGGATGAAACAACCTCTAGACATTTTCTGGAAGAAACTGAATATATTTCTGTTGTCTAAAGCTCTCATACAAAAAAACAGACTTACTGATGTGAAGCAAAGTCCCTTCTAGCAAGCACTGGGTTATCAACAAATACATCACTGTCACTGAAGATCCTACAGAAACATCTGCCAATAGTCATGGAAAATTGAACCCATTCCTAGAAAATATGAGTTTC